CACATACACACACATACGCACACACACACTAATACAACAGCATATATTCATCGTTAGTCAAGATTACAGATTATCAACCCAGAGTCGAAGGCTTGGCATGTGCCTCCCTATAGATATAACTCTACACATATACATTTGCACTACTTAACAGCCATATTTCACTCGTTTCTCCCTCACAATTTCTGCTCCTTTTTATCAATTTTCAGCTAAGACGAGTTATTACCAGCACCGCTAAAAAGAAAAATTAAACGTACTTGGGTTTCTCAACAGCAACTCCACATGCGTTATCAGGTCGACGCGTCAAAGCCAGCAGTTCTGACACACTAAGAATTCGAGGTGTTGCAGCTGGTACTACTGGCACTTCTATGTAATCCAACGTTTTCTTAATGTCACGTACAAATCCAGGCCCCTTATATTCCATAACTGAAATTTCGATGAAAACAAAAGCAGCTAAAATCGAATATTCATTTTCAACACTTCGAGTTCTTAAAAATAACTGTCCTTTACCCTTCACTGGCCAATTGGCCGTGAGCTCTCTAACCTTTTCCTGTTGCTTATAGGGTCGTTACGGCTCGTATTGCCTTCTACTTCTTAAAAATAATTAAAAGTTGAGATTTGTGATTTCAAATATCAGTAGAACGAACTGATCTATTTTATGAAAAATTTGAACTTAAAAATAACTGGTCTCCACCCTTCACTGAATTGACCGTGAGCTCTTTAACCTTTTTCTGCTGCTTATAGGGTCGTTACGGCCCGTACTGCCTTCTACTTCTTAAAAATACTCAAAAGTTAGGATTTGTGATTTCAAATATCACTAAAACGAACTAATCTACTTTATGAAAAATTTAAATTCATTTTTTTACGAGAAATTTTGAAACGATTCAAACAAATTACAATAGAAAAAGCTACAGCAAAAAGAAAATGCTTAAGAAATTTCTGTCATTCTGAATTTCAACGGATTAAAGAGGCTTTTTTATCTAGCTCCGGAAAAATGACAGTTTTGATGCGTGAATTTTGTACGAAAACTAATGAATTATGAGTTAAAACCCGACATACATTAAGGAAATTGGACAGACTGGCTTGAAAATTTTCCAATTTTCGACAACAAAAAATTTCCTTCATAAAAAATTAGTTACGCGACAGCGATTCAGCAAATCCGCTAGAACAGGTGATGTGATCTTGTAAAAGAAAATTTGCTCCTCTACAAGTGCAAATGATTCCATCCGCCGTTGATATGCAAATGATTCCATCCACCGTTGATATCAAGCATTGGCAAATCTGGGGACAGGGGGGTCTTTCTTTCCTCCCCTCCCCCCCCCTTCTCTCGGCAGGGGCTCAGGTAGCAGCTGTTTTACCGCAGAAAACTCTGTTAAATACCGCCTGTCGTCCTTCCCCCCTTCTCT